TATAATATATTAATATAATATAATATTATATTATACTATTTACACATAATATTATGAATATATTATTAATTAGAGTCAGCTGGTTTAATGAAATAAACTTTTTTTAAGGCTCAATAGATAATCGAAAGCGTTATACGTATTCGAATACGTCCACGTGCTGTGACCAACTATTATGGCATCATGGCGACAGAGACGGTATGATTGTACTGTAGACGGAAAGTATACGAAGGTGCGAGAGAGTGAGTCATAGAGAAAAAGTGAGAAGGAAAGAGACGCGCTGACAGTGCGAGAGAGTAAGAGATAGATAAAGTGTGGGAAAGGAAGAGACGCGCGGAGCGGGAAGTACACAGTTCTCAGCCGCTGCGCGCACCGCACTTTATTAATGATTTTGGCCACTTCGGCTTGTGTAAATCGTCAGATTATATTATTCCCGTGATCCTTGATTAATTTCCTTCAAAATAAAAAAAAATTTAACCGCGCTCGAGAAAATCCATGTCACGTTTTTTTTTGCAACTTTGTGACTCTCCCATTTCCTTACGTCACGCTGAAATCGTCAGATTATTGAAATGTACACTTTTCTACATGTAATTAACACACCATACCTTAATCTGACGCGCTCGAGTTTTTCGAACGATCGATTTTTTTTTACTAATCTGACGGGCTCCCCTGGACCCCCGGCTCTATATAGAGGTTTAATATATGGTGGGGGTACTTATTAGGATGCAAGCTTTCCCCCTTTATGTTATTCTGACGCGCTCGAGTAAATCCCAAAATCCCCGCTTGGCCTCCCCTACTATAATGATGGGTGTCAAACGCTTACCGTCTTATCGTGATTATTGGTCCTCGAATCCTCAGTTGAATGATGCTTACATAAGTTCGACCATGCCGGTCAAGAGATTCTCTTTCTTGCTCGGTAATTTACATTTGAATGATCGAAATAAAGAACCTAAGAAAGGAGACGCTAATTTTGACAAATTATACAAAATAAGACCGTTCATCGAAAAAATATCTGAAACTTATCTGCATCATTATGATCCAACTAAAGAGCAATTTATAGATGAGAGCATGGTAAAATTCAAAGGTAGAAATACCATGAAACAATACATGCCTCAGAAACCCATTAAACGAGGATATAAGGTGTGGGTGAGATCAGACATGAATGGTTATGTATGTGAATTTCAAATGTACACAGGAAAAATTGGTAATGCTGCTGAAAAAAATTTACTGGAAAGAGTTATCAAGGATTTATCTCAAACACTGATAAAATATTCGTAATCAGCGACCCTGAAAACCCTTATAGACAACATTTAGCATTTATCTGCTAATGTTTGAAAATTTTGTATTACCGCCATATTGGATCCGTCATCTTGAATTTTGAAAATCTGACTTCAGATTCGTAATCAGCGATCCCGAAAACCCTTACAACCACTATCATATCTGGGGTAGGTGCTCTAGAAAAATGTGCCCCTCAAAGGGTTAAATAGAACATCTCGACTTATTACTACATCTCGTAATTCAGGAATCCACACACGATATCCTTAGTGTATCCTACAACATAGCCTTTGTATGCCTTTTTATCCAATTTCTTTCTATTTTCTTTAGGAATATGCACAAAGCATCCAGTACCAAAAACTTTAAAATAATTTACATTGGCGGTTTTATTAAACCACAATTCATATGGAGTTTTATTTTCAATTTTTGTCGGAGCTGTTCTATTTAATACATATACAGCACAGTTAATTGCTTCAGCCCACAGAAATCTAGGCAAATCAGAGTTAGAGAATAACATTGAACGTGCAGCTTCTACTATGATACGATTTTTGCGTTCGGCTGAACCATTTTGTTCTGGTGTATATGGTACGGTAACAGTATGCCTAATACCTAATTTACGCAAATAGTCACGAACATTCTTATTAACATATTCTCCGCCTCCATCGGTACGTAATTCTTTTATATTCTTATCAAAACGCGTTTTTATTTCATTACAGAATATTTCTTTTCTTTTACTTCAGATTTGTTTCGCAAAAAATATACCGTTCTATATCCGCTATAATCATCCTTAAAAATAACATAATAATAATTTTTTCCAAGCGATTCTACATTCATTTTTCCACATACGTCAGAATGTATTAATTCTCTAGGTTCCTTTGCACGTTCACCTCTTGTTCCAAAAGGCAACCTATGATGTTTACCGTATGCGCAATCATCACAGAATTCACCATCTTCAGCTACATTTATTCCTCTATTCTTTAAAAAGGATTTTACGTGACGTTTGTTTTGATGGCCAAATCGCTCATGCCGCAACTGTAATGTATCAATTTTATTAGCAGTACAAACTATATTTGATATCTCATAAATCTACTCTATATAACTTTCCTGTTTCTATGCCAACAGCTATTACTTTATCATCTCGTGTAAGAACGCATTCCTTACCATTACAAATTGAAATATTTATACCTTTCTTTGCAGCCGCCCTAATTGAGAACAGATTATGCTTCATATCTGGTGTGTATAGGACATCATACATAATACCTTGTGACCATTTTCTGTTTACTCTTATCTCGATTCTAATGTCTCCTCGTCCCAGTACTGACATTGCCACGCCGCACAGTGGGCATAAAGTCGTTTTTCGTGATAAAAAATCACTCGACGGCTGAATTCTCCGATTGCAATGATTTTTTTTTTAAATACGCGTTATTTAGTGTACTATAACGGAGAATTGCACGTTTTTTGATATTGCAATTTGTCAATTAACAACAAATCATAATCCTAATTAACTTTTTGGCAAACATTTTTTGATGCTTTCATAATTCCTTCGATCTTGATATACAAAGGTTTCGGAGGTCACTGATCATGAATCCGTCACTCAAATTTCGAAATTCAAAATGGTGAATCCAATATGGCGGCTGCGATCTGGAAATGTAAGAACAAATTTCGTAAAATTTGCTATATGGGATTGCTGATTACGAATCTGTCACTCATATTTCAATATTCAAAATGGTGAATCCAATATGGCGGCTGCGATCTGGAAATGTAAGAACAAATTTCGTAAAATTTGCTATATGGGATTGCTGATTACGAATCTGTCACTCATATTTCAATATTCAAAATGGTGAATCCAATATGGCGGCTGCGATCTGGAAATGTAAGAACAAATTTCGTAAAATTTGCTATATGGGATTGCTGATTACGAATCTGTCACTCATATTTCAATATTCAAAATGGTGAATCCAATATGGTGGCCGTGAACTAGAAACGTAAGGACAAATTTCGTAAAACACAGGGGCGTTAATTATTAATGTCAAAAATTATAATAAAATAATTATAATAAAATAATTATAATAAAATTATAATAAAAAGTTCACAGATTTAATGAAAGTACACTGTTAAAAATTTTATGAAATTTAATATACTTTTAAAAGTTACACAATTTGAATTCAATTTCATGACATTACATTAAACTTAATGTATTTATAACAGAAAAACATATTTGCGTACATGTACATAAAATTTAATGTATTTATTATGAAATTTTATGAAATTTGATATACTTTTCATAAAATTACTTTATTATAATTTTTTGACATTAATAATTAACGCCCCTGTGTATCATATTTTACGAAATTTGTCCTTACGTTTCTAGTTCACGGCCACCATATTGGATTCACCATTTTGAATATTGAAATGAGTGACAGATTCGTAATCAGCAATCCCATATAGCAAATTTTACGAAATTTGTTCTTACATTTCCAGATCGCAGCCGCCATATTGGATTCACCATTTTGAATTTCTAAATTTGAGTGACGGATTCGTGATCAGTCACCTCCGAAACGTTTGTATATCAAGATCGAAGGAATTATGAACGCATCAAAGAATGTTTGCCAAAAAGTTAATTACGATTATGATTTTTTGTTAATTGACAAATTGCAATATCAAAAAACGTGCAATTCTCCGTTATAGTATACTAAATAACGCGTATTAAAAAAAAAAATCATTGCAATCGGTTGAGAATTCAGCCGTCGCGTGATTTTTTATCACGAAAAACGACTTTACGCCCACTGTGCGCCGTTGAAAATGTAGATTTTCAGTGGTTGTGGAAACGATTGATATTCAGAAAACCATTCGCTTCGATTTGTGATGTGATCTGACGCTCCAGAGTCGATTAGCCAGTAGTCTGCTATATTTGCTTCATCCGTGTACCCTGCGAACGCCTGTGCTTGATCACTAGATGTTTCTTTATTTGTTTTGTTCTCCCCTTGTTTCGTGCAGTTTCTTGCAATATGATCCTTTGATTCACACTTGAAACATCCTTTGCAATCTTTGCACTTATGATCTTTTTTGCCGCATGTAAAGCAACCTGTTTTCTTCCTTTCATCCATATTTAATTTTTCCTTTGAATAGCCAAATTTTTTTTGAAAATTGGCTTTCTGATTTCCTTTTGAGATGAGAGCTACTGTTGACTCTTCTGACTCACTTCTTTTTTGTATTCGTAGTTCCTCAGCCATGAATCTTGCCGTTAGATTCTCAATTGTCTTTCTTGCATCGTCGGTAGAATCCCAGGCACTATGGAAATGTTTAAATGTTGGTGGTAAAATTGAGAGAATTCTAGTAATTAACATTGAAGTCGGTATTTCTCCTCCAAGTACTTTCATCTTACTCGCCATTTGCTCAAGTTTCGATACATGCTGAGCTACATTTCCTGCCGAATCCCAAGCAAAGAATTCCTTCTGGATTAAGGACAAGCTTTCATCTGATTTCATGTCATATACGCTATGCAGTTTTCGCCACATATCTCTGGCTGTTTCACAATTCATTATCAATTGCAATGGCTTTGACTCAAGAATAGTAACAATAAGTTTCTTAGCTTTTTTATTCACATTCGTCCACCTAGCTAAATTTATTTCATAATCTTGTGATCCTACTTCAGGCTTGACTAACTTGTCATCACATACCTGCAGTATGTCGTCGCTTTCCATCAACGTGCTCACAACGAACTGTCATTCCTGCCAATTAGTCGCATCTCGTAACTTTTCAACTTTGATCCTGCCGATTTCCATTTTTCGACATACAATTGTACTTTATTCTTCTTATACTGAATACACCTTGTCGTATTCCTTTTTTTCGTTTATGAAGAATCTCCTTCGTACAAGCTGCTCAAAGTTTTGTCCCTTGTTTTCTCAATTTGCCAGACTACTACTTCTTCCGATATCACCCTGAGCCCATAATCTGTTGAGGGTGGATTTCCAGCACAATAATAACCAGAACGTTTATATCGAAAGAATACTTTTAATGTAAAAGGCAGTACAAGAAAACGCAGTTCAACCAAAAAAGGGGCGACGACCACACACACAGTCGCCGAATGAAGATAGAGGAACCGAAAAAAAAAGAAACTAACATCGCAGCGCCCATCGCATTAACTACTCCCCAATCTGTCGATAAGTCTTATCATTTAAGCGTTCGGTCTTACCGACCTTCCTCAACAATAACGCCTTTTTTGTGACAAAAAGGATGATTAGACCAAAAACTAAGAAACCTTCCTGAAAACGTTGACTTATAATACCTGTCAAAAATAATTCTGTTCTCCTCAACAATAACCGTGGTGTCCAAAAAATTCAATTTACCCTTATCGCCAATTTCCATAGTAAACTGAAGTCTAATGTGCAAAAAATTAAAAATTTTAATAGGTTTCCATCAGTGAGCCATAATGATAAATTGATTTATGGTTGGTTAAATCTTACGAATCAATTTATTAGGAACCAAGATAATTTACTCATAACACATGCTGATAAAGGAAATGTTACGGTAGTATTAGATAAAATGGATTATGTGAGAGAGATGGAGACTATTTTGTCAGATGAGGATACATATTTAGTTGTTAGTAAGGATCCTGTGAGGACGTTGACTAATGACCTACGTTGCTTAATCACAAGATGGAAAAGTAAATCTTTCTCATTAACGTCAATGAGATAAAATCTAATTTTCCTTATTAATATATTATTTTTCTAAATATTACATTTTTTAAGTATTACATTCTCATTTTTCTTATTTTTCTAAATATTACATTCATATCTTAGTACTATGTCATTATATCGAGATCGAGATCTAGCAGCGCCAAGTGTTTTTACATAAAAATTTTTCTATTTAAATTAAATTTTTTCATTTTATACGGTTAACATTTTAATTTTTGTGATAACATTTAAATTGAGCAAGGTAACACAACTTTGTGATAACGTTTTGTATATTATTTTGAAAAAGAATTAAATACCCACTACTTT